TGCTGTCATACTAAGAGTAGAGTTTTTTGCTGGGTTTGGTTCACAAGGATGGATCCAGCCAGAGGCCCCTTACTGATGCAGTGCACCATCAAAAGGGTCTTGTGAGACCGTCGTTCCCTTGGCACCTGGAGACAAGGTTATGACGTTAGGCACCATATCCGAGTCTCCGTTTTTTTGAGGATGAAATACGATAGAACATGGATATCGGCAGCCTTGTTTTGACCGGGATCGCGTGGTTGGTTTTCGGGCTGTTACTGCCGCAGTGGTGGGATTGCCTCACCTGTGTGAATGGCCGCAGATGATCGAAGCGCTGCTATGCCATAACCCGTGATGAAAAAAAGATGCCGGTGTTATGCGGGGACTACTTGGGGGCATGTTTGGGCAGCAATATGAGGCAGATAGACCATACGGAAGCACGCCGGGATGCCACACTGCGCGAAATATCGAGTCCTTCACTTGGGAGGTTCCGAGTTTCGAGGCCAGCCTTGTTTGGGCGTTGGATGGGCTAAGCTCCGCCACTGGCCATCTCCGCACCCCTTCAATTCCTTCCCAATCACTCTTGTGAGAGCGACTCATGGGTTCATTTGAACACTCTGATTGTCAAATCTGGTTTGGTCCTTCGAGGGTCTGAAGACAGACATGTGAATTCAAAACAACCTAGGTCGGGCTGGGATGCGTGCCTGCCTACATTGCCCGCAGTCGCACAACACCTGTTCTTGTGCTTGCTAATAACACGGAGTGGGTGATGGTTTCTTGAATAGTACCTCAACCGTTGATCCACAACTGGTCACACAAACATTGGAAATCAATGATGATACTCGACAGGTTCCGCGCCTCGCCCACTCGAGGACCTATTTTCATAGGTGCCTGATATGCACGTTGCCGAGGGCATCGATGCCATCACCCGTTCTTGTCCTTCCATGGCCAGGCCGGGTGACACGCGCCCTTTGTGCGCTTTCCATGACACTTCCATCAGTGGCAAGGTGATTGTCGATGTTAGAGAGCTCATCCCTACCCAGCCGAGTATTCTGGAAATGGCCACGCGCCTTTCTTCCCCCACTTTTTCTGGAAGCAGAATTTTGATATATACTCGTGGAATCAAAAAGTCAATTTCAAGATAATATGACAGTACAGTTGTTATACACTAAGCATGATCAATGCACGAGTTGTCTTACAGGTCATTAGGCCATATACTTAAGTTCTCATTGGATCGATCAATAACTTTATGTGGACGCTATTGGATGTATCGCCAGCCTTTGCTTATGAGCTCGAAAGAGCACAGCCAATGCAAGTTTCCTCGGGATGGGATTACCTCCAGATCATTCGGTCGTATGCAACTCAAGCATACCCAGGTCGGTGGTTCATTGCCGCCAATGAAGAGGTCGATGGTGGAGATCACCTGCCCAATACCTTGCGATAACAAACAGCCGACCGCCTGCAAGACAAGAAACAAGACAAACCTACCTACAATGAGAGGCACCTTTTTTCCAGGTTAGGTCTCAGTCCGTTCGTAGGTGGAGCCCAACTGATAAACGTACTGGCCCCGAACCCGCCGACTCGGATGCTAGCTCCAGTGGGGTTCGCACGACGGTGTACGGTTGAGCTCCACCAATTAAGCATTGGATGACGGCCCGCTAGCGGGAGCTAGACCGGCTTCTGTCTGTTACAGGGAAGGTCCTGGCTTACAGTGGGGTCGTTCTTCATGACAGGCAAACATTCGGTTGACTTGTCAGTTTTATCGTTTCAAGAATGGCAAGCAAGAGTTCACTACTCCGATTGGCAACAAATCATTTTATTCGACACGAAGGCTACATTATGGCAAGCGGCAGGAACGACAGGCACATGACCTTCCATTGGGTCCAGATCCGAGCTTTCCCTTTGGCCAACATCCTAGCCCACAGTCCAGGGATGATGGGCACAACCCGTCTGTTTCCGATGGGCTACTATCACGTTTACAAGAGACCAGAAAAGCTTCGTTTCCCGAGCTGACACCCCCACGCGAATGAGCCCGATGGCAATGGTGGGATCAGTAAGATGTCGTGAGTGACAGGTACGTACAAGAAACTAACCTGCGCGTAGGTAACAGAGGATGGGTACCTAATGATATGGATCTCCCTACAGTTTTTTGCCAGTTACGACACCTTTGCTTCTATTCACGCAGGATCGAGCGCTCGGGTCTGCGTGTACTTGGGACCGCACCTCAAACAACCAACACGACCCCCATGATTGTGAGCAGTCAGTCACATTCGTATTCTTTCGGGGAACAGAACAACATCCGGGCACATCGAAGGGTTGACGAGAAAGAAAAAAATTATCCCCTCCGGCCGGCCGGCCAGTAGAAGCTTTGCGGCGAAGATTCTGCCACAATCAAACCCGCGTGGGGGTGCACTCGTCCAAGGCGATGAAAGCCCGAGAGCCTTGAAGCAAGACATCCATTCGCTGAACCGTCGTCAACATCACCCACGCCGGGTTGGCTGAAAAGCGCATCATATCACACATGGATGGTAGCACCGAATATGCATGTGAGAAAAATCCCTCAAGAACTTGGTGGCCATCGACGATCCTGGGGATAAGGCAATTGAAGACAAAGGCCGATTCTAACTGGGCGCTCTTGTTCCGATATTCGAAACAAAAAGCCCGATGCCGCGTGGTGGCCCTCTGCCCTGCGTATCAAGCCTTTTTTGGCGTTTGACAGCGCCGCTAACCCACAGTTCTGGGACGGTACACCTCGGCCGCTGGCCCTGACAGGCCGTGGGGGTTAGGCAGTTTGGGGTGTTCAGGGATATGGGCAAAATGATACAGAGTATCCGATCCCGAATGGACGCGTGATGAGGCGTTACAAGAGAGAGAGAGAGAGAGAAAATTGATAAAGTTGAGCGAATGCAGCCTGTCTCCAGTCAAGGCTGCCCCTCAAACCCACGGCGGCACCCATTTTCTTTCGAGGTGCCACCCTCAAATGTCCACGGACAACATCGTCACCGGGTGGCAGCATCATCACCAGCAAACTGCCGGGATCTCACCTGCGCCGCCCGGTAGACATTCATGTCGAGAAATGGACGACTCAATACAGCGGACAGCTGCATACCACCCGCTGCTGTACTCGGTGACGCGCAGTGTTCCTGTCTATTGTTTTGATTGTTGCAGCCTTTCGTCCTGGTCCCATCAAACCGATCCCACCCCTCTTATGCATCTCTCGCCTGATTGAACAAAGAATTGCTTTGTTCTATTTTCCTCACACTGTCCGGCCTGCACGTGGAGAAATCTACCTTTACCCTCCAGAACACCACTCATCGTTCTTGCCGAATCACCAGAATCTGGGTTATAACTCCCGTGCCGTCCTGTCATTTGGGCACACGGGAGGTTCGTGGCTACGGTATGTAGCCGAAATCCTCGGGGGAATACCCCCTGCCTTGTCCTGGATCGGAAATAATCTCCGTTTTTTTCCCCGTGCTGCCTTCCCCAGATATGCCTGGGAAACAAAAGTTACCCCCGACCGGGTTGAGGGAAAAGGCAATCTTTTCATATGCGCGATGGAGTGCCTTGGCTCTGCTTGGCATGCGTCTTTTGGTTCTAGACCTGATGTGGTGGTGAAACATGAGGTGAATTGAGGTGACGAAGTGCGAGTATGTTTTTGACGTCCTTTGTTGAACAGGACACAGGTGGTCCTGGGAAAGGCTTGGCCGCGGGCGGTGCGGCTGGCACTGATGGAAAGCTTTGAACGGGAGAGTGGGAGAACGTGGGGGTTTTAGAGAACACATGGGTATTTTACGCCTCTTCCTGTCAGGTTAGACTCCCTCAAATCTTCGTCCAAAATCCGGGGTAACATGACAGGAGACAGCCAGGGCAGGCACAGGCCGGAGTGCGGTGGGATGGTGTCATGTTAACTGGCATACACCAACCCACTTCTGCACCGACCAAGTTGGCTCTGCACTTTTCAGGATGGGTCGCGGCGTCTTCCCACGTACCATGCAGTGGCTACTTAGGTAGTGGAACAAGTAAAGATGGGCTATGCACACAAGAACTGTGTGGGCGGGTGGGCGCAATCATCGGCACATGCTGGTGACATTCACCGCCAGGAGAGCAAACTCTATTGGTTTCTGTCATCTGCGTTGGCAGGCGCAGCGGTGAGAGACCGACTGCACAGTAGTAGATTGCGCACGGTAGACGACGCCAAACAAGTGGTAATCTGCCTATCCTATCTAGAGCACTTGAAAACTTGGGTTTCGTAGTCCGGCCTGATAGGTCAATCTGCAATGCCGGTGTTGACACAAGAGCCATGTGCGAAACACCGAGACCCTGGTTCTCATGGCATTGCATCCCCCACGTACCCATATCAGCGGGAAGGATGAACTGCATATGAACATCTGAGAATGGTATTTAATGCTCAACCCCCCCTCTTGTTTTGTTTTTTTTCGCGGTGGTTCATCTCTGTCTCATCATACCACTGACAGATATTTCCCTGGTAGCTACACCTATCAGCCAGCATGAGTTGACAAGGCTCTCCCATTTGCACCTTCCTACCTTCCGCAGTCACACAACGGTCGTCATCGGCCTCACCGCCATTACACGACCCACGTGTCCCGTTGCCCTCAACCTACCTAACCCATCCGCTGGTAACCGCATCGGCCGGCCATAACCAATGTCCCGATACACCAACGCACGCCGACGTGCTGCCGGTCTAGGCCGGTATGCCGAGAACCCGGACCTGGGCAAGCTCAAGTACTGTCCCGACATCCAGTTAAACGAGGAACACCCATCTGTTCCTTTTATGCCCCCAGTTCCAAGCTTCAATGGCGCCAACGATATTTGGTCCAGCTTTCCCCGACCCATCGAGAAGAATGACTGGGTGCGTCGGATCACAGGGGAGCAACCCCCTGCTCGAGTAGGGGAGTCGTCCCAAACGTCCCAGGCTGAGCTCGGGCGCCTTTCATCTCGGTCCTAGTGCGTCCAGTCTCGTCCTTTGATCTGTCTCTTTCCCCACAATCTTCTAACTCGTCCACAGCTCACTTCGCGTGGGGGACTCCAACGACTTCGCCTCGGTCTGGGAATCGATTGTAATTCCTGCCCTTACTGACCTCCTCCAACAATACTGCGACTCTGACTTCGCGGTCGACGTACACAACTTCCCTGAGCTCTCCACAGATGCCGTCCCCCGTGTGATCTACATCACACTGAGCGACCATGTGGACCCCTCGTTTGAAGTATGACGGTTGCTCTTCATGACTTTTCTGTTAACCAAGTGCGTCATGTGCTAAGCAACCCTCTCGACAGGAAACCATCCGTACCGAGCTTGCCCACGCAGTTCCCACTCGCTTCCACCCCATCTACCTCAAGTTCCGTAGAGGTGGTCCCCAGAGATCCGGGATGTGGTGGGGCCAGGAAAGAGGCGACCATGATGACATTTGTGAGCCTTGCAACATCACTTACCGTCCCGCCCCCATAATGGGCATCTCGATCGGTCCAGTCCAAGTAGCCGACGCTGCTTCACTCGGGGGCTTCATCAAAATCGGCTCTGAGCTGTATGCCATGAGTGCCGCTCACGCCTTTGAGGATGCTGTCAAAAAGGGGCACGCCCGCGTTCATCACCCAGCTAAACCCGACTTCCCCAAGATCACGCCTAGTGATCCTCGCGCGAAACAATACGTCATTGGGACTGTGGCTATGAAGACGCCGTCTGGGACACTTCGTCCATCGCTTACCTTTCAGAACACGAATTTCTCGGCGGAACGCACCAAGGTTGAGATGGACTGGTGTCTCATTGGACCGGTGAAAAACGGGAAGAACATAATCTCGGTGCCCAGTTTTCAAATGGATCGGTGCGTTGCTGTGGAGCAGACGGCGCCCGTTGAGGGGAACACCGAGGTTTATGCCATGGCGAGGACAAGCGGGTATTCGCTTGGTTTTGTGTCTGATGTGCCTGGGTTGCAGAGAATTGGCGGACATCTGAGGAGGGAATGGACTGTCAGACAGTACTCCCCTTTCAAGCACCCGAGGGACAGTCGAGCTAGTGCGCCTTGGTGAGCTATGGTCTTTATGTCTTCTGTTTCATCTGACTGACCTTATTCATAGGCAAACGTTGAAGCAATGGGTGACTTCGGGAATGGGGGTGCCCGGAGACTCGGGGGCATGGCTGATGCGGCGCTCTGACAATGCGGTCATCGGGCTCATCTGGGGACGCAACCATGACTATGGTGATCCCCTCGAGCGAGTTCGTCTGACCTACTTCACCCCCATGGTGGATATCCTCAAAGATGTGCGGGAAAATGGGAGTTCCCAGGTGGCAGAGGAGACTGTGCTTTTCCCCACTAACACGAAGATAGTACACCGTCGGGGAAGAGGTCTCGCTACCCAGCTACTCGGCCACAGATCTGGCACGGGCTTCTGATAGCCAGCGTAGCGCAGTGCACTTGGATCCATCTCGAGACCCGTGGAATGCCCTGGCATCAGATGTGATTCAGCAGCATCGCCACACCCAAGAGGACCTCATCAGGGATCATTTCGTCGACAATAACATCCCTCCCTCTGGCGCAGTGTTCGATCGCCCACCACCTGCCGAGTCTGGTCTCAGTCTGATGGAGAGTTTGTCTGAGCCCATTGAGGCATCTGTTCTCGCAGCAGGTCGTCAAACACTGCCACCTTATAGCGAGGGCCATTACTCAACGTCAACTTTGCGCTCTCAAGATCGATTGCTTCTTGGAATCGGGGAAAGCGTATCAGTGCCCGGTCTTTCCAGCTCATCATCCATCCATTCGAGTGTCGGATCCATGGGTGAACCTTTTGATGCTATATCCGCTGGAAATGGAGTGCACATTGTCGAAGAACAAGGTGTGCACGAAGACATCATCGAGGTCGAAGAGCCTGTCAGGTCCAAAGCCTGTTTTACTGCTGCGAACCCCCCCGCCTTTCCAAGGTTGAGCTTCGTTCGGCCGTGAAAAGCGGCAAGACTCTACGCCAGAGTTCTTGCAAGTTGCCCGATGGGTGCTAGTTCTCCGAAGATGCCGAGCCACACAATATTCCCTGCCTATCCGTCGGATAACTCGGCTCGGTGATGATGGCGAGTGCAGTATCCCAATACAGTATTCCTTGTCAAAAGTTGGTGGTTGAGGCCGAGTTTGTTTGACTGCAGAGGTCTCGATTATGGCTGCGACCGAGACTGGCTGGACCTGCCGTGGGTGGTGTCAGCGAGGCTACCATATTTCTCGGGCGACCACGGCGTTATAGCCATGGTGGCATCATGACACCACAACCTCTTGCGGCCCGTCTGCTTTTCTGACGATGCAGATGTTCTTGTGCCCTACTGGTGGACTGCTAAGATCTTTGCATCATTGATCATTCGTTGCCCCCACAGTCGCCTTGCTAGCCCGCACCCATCGAGTGCGGGGAAATCACGAGGCTGGAGAGCTGGTTGGGTGGCCTTGTCTTCGGTCACCAGGGCCGAGAGACAGGCTGAGGACGAAGAAAGCGCTTGAAAGGCAGATCGCGCCGAAGGTCCTGAAGGCACCTACTCAATAAGGTTCATGTGAGGCCCGGAATACCTACCGGGCACACCCTTATATGACACCGTCTGCCTCTTGATTCGACCAAGGGATCCGATGCCTCCTTGAAGGTTGCGCTCTGGGTTGGAAAGGTGTGCCTGTCTTGGGCTGTCTGCCTTGAAGCAAGGACCGTACCTCTATGCATATCCTGTTGGGTTGCACAAACCGATAATGCTACAGAACGTGTGTCGATTTCCACGCGAAATCTTCTCACGTTTCTGGAAATCCCGGTGACGCATGGCGGGGTAACAATGATATTGTTTGGTTGCATATACCATACGCGTTGTGAGATAGAGGCAGCAGCAAAAATGAAGAGAAACAATCCGCGGGTTGGATCATGGCCCCCACCCCACCTTGGCTGCTTTAACCAAAGGTTGATTGGGACCTCCTCACTGTTGCATACAGTGACGTCGAGCTCGATCCAACAGGAAGGATTCATCAAGTAGTAGATGCACGGTGTCACAGGCTCACCGAACATGGAATATAAATGATCCTCAAGATCCCCTCAATTTGATCAAGTTTGGATCTAGGCTGTTGGCGGCACGGCTGCCGTCTAGCCCGTCCTGCCTGCCAGGGCTGAACAATATCTCCGTCACAGTCGGTTGTGCGAGGACCAAATTGTCGTTTCTCTCATCAAAGTTGGTTGGGGGCGTAGCGTTCCAAGCACTCCCGCCCTGCGGATACGTTGAGTTGAGTGTGTGCCGCCAAAGGGTTGCAGATTGCTGGCCGCCTACCTGCGTATCGGGGGCCTCGAGATGCGACCTTCGTTTACCCCGCAGGAACCGAAGAAATATCGCTTGGATGAAAGATGTCGGCCTTTTTGTCCCTCGGTTGCCGAGTCGGAGGGTTTTTTTGTGAATAGCTGCTGACCCGAACGAATGCACCTCTCGGCGAGTGGGCTCACCGACTGGAAGGCATCCATCCTCTCTCTGACTGAACTTCGCAGCAGGCATCTTCAGCTGTGAGAAAGATGACCAGCCTTCATGTGCAAAGCAGTCACTTGAGGCTCCCACCACGTGCTCGCAAAGCTTGTAAGCTTCGAGCTTGGCTTGAACACCGGGCGCGGAAGCTCCCTCGCTCTAGCGGCATGTTTCCCGCTCTCTGGAAGCAATACCTTGTTCGGGATGTTCCAGCCGTTCTACAAGGCGACCACGCCTTACCCAAGTTAGCAATTATAAGCCTGGTAACCAATCGCATTGGAAGAAAATGTCTGAGGTTTGGTGCCTGGCAGACCGATGACAATCATGGGAATGAGCGGTAAATGGGTAGACAATGGGGGGGCCAATTGGGGGAGGACATCATGACATGGGTCAACCAAACACCCCGATAAGCCGCCTGTGAGGGGGGAAAAGCGTCATTCTATACGCCACATACAAGCTTTGTTAATAATCACTGCAAGCAAAATGCAATCACACCGAGAACGGATCTCGAGAAGAAGAAAAGTCCTCACGTCAGGGGAGGGAGCTTTTCACCTTTCAACCCACAACAAGGCGACCAGAGAGGCGAAGCAAAACAAAACCTGCGACTTTCCGATAAGGGGAAGGAGCAAATTGGAAACCCCGTTGTAGCTATTTCCATTCCATCTGCAGCTTTTGCTGACCTCCCTCCCACCCCTTGTCCGACTTACAACTCCTTTTTGCTTAGGTGTTACAAGCTCGAGTCGGAGAATGCAACAGAAAGGGATTACTGTCCTTACACACAGGGGAGCGGTGAAGCAGACTTGGTATCATCAGGAGCCGAGCAGCATGTCATCAGACAGAGAGGGGAAAACTCTGCGACTCCGGCTTCGGTTCGGCTGACTGGCAACTTTGTCGGTGTTGCCTTTTGGGAAGGAGGCCGTCAGGGAACAGGAAGTTCCAATGTCCACGTTTTGAGGCTTTTACAACACCCCTCCCTTGTCGAGCATGAGCTGCAATAAAAGAAAAGGCCCAAAAGCAGCGACAAGCGGGATGTGAAGTGCAAAAGCTTGATAGGTGAAGAAGAGACGCATCTGATGTGGAAATTTAAATGCCAAATCATCAAAACGAACAAAGGTCAACGTCGGCCCGGCACGACAGGAGTGGCTATGTGGTTGGCCGGCCGGGTTTGAGACGAACAAATGACCTGTCATGTCTGGAAATCTGCGAGCAGCCGACTTCAGATTGAGCACTGGCCAGGAGGAGACCAGTTCACGATCGGGGGATCTCTGTGCCGCTTACTTGCTTTTTTGATCGATTCTTGTGCGGTTTTGCCGGGTGGGAAGTCGATAAAAGTGCAGAAGTGAAGATGCTTTGATTCTGATGACATCAACCAGAGGTATTCAACCTAACAAAGAGAAAGACAAAGCGATTATCTCGTCAACTCCATAATCCCATTGTGCTCTCCTTACCACCTTGCCCCCAGTCAAGTACCTGTACGTTTCAAATATCCCAACCTTAATTCACTCATACAAGGAAATATATCGACGAACTTGGAACGAAAGGCTTGGTTACCTAGCATTTGTAGTTGAAAGAGGTGACGGAGGGTATATGGGCAATGAGATAACTAAGGGCCAGAATGGTCATACGTGAGCATAACATTGTATTCGTACAACTAACCAAAGACTTTTTGTGGCACACCATGGACGAAAGAGCTGGTATTTCATAAGGATAATACAATATAGTATTCTAAACTAGGCCTCGAAAGGTGAATTATAGGCCTTCAAGAGCAGTTAGCAGGCATGTATCCTATTGAAAAATATGTAAGCTAATGGCCGTTGCGCGGTTTGCTGACTTGCAGTGTTGATTGGAACGACGTGAAAGAACAAGGTATGTGTCCTTTGTCCTTGAGAAAGTAATCTTGTAGAAGAGCACACAAAGACATTATCCCGCTGTTTCATCAACAAAGCTGTTGTCTCTACTCACAATAGGGGTAATCCAAGTAGACGTGCTCTCATGCGAACTGCCTATTTAACAACCACATCTCCACTCCAAATCCAATTCTCGAAATCATCATCAACCATCTCATCATCTCATCTCATCTCATCTCAACCCACTTTCTACTCTTGAAACCAACAAACTTACAAGGCTAAGTTTTACACTTTCAAGTTACCACCACCAACACCAACAAACCACCACTAAGCAAAACCCCCAAACACCAACAAAATAGCCCGCACTACCACCAGCCGCCGCGTCACCACCCACACCGTCAACAGTGTCACCCAATCCATCGAGCACGTCATCGAAGAGGAATGGTGGAAGTGTGTGTGAGTGAGTGGGATGAACTGATATTTAGAAGATTAATTAGAAAACACGAGTTGTTGATCAACTATTTAAAGCTGTCCCCGTTTGCGTTTGAGTGTTTGTGATTCGAATTTTGTTGTGTAACCATTGCAAATAAATGCCATACCAAGGTATCAGAAAACACCTCATGTTGCCATGCATGATGTTCTCAGATTTTGTGTTGTGGACTCTTGCTGGTGTAGTTGTTCTCCATGTCACTTCTTCCGGGCGATGTCTTCTTGTTTGTTACCGATATCAAATTTTTATTCTCATTTATAGAATATTCCTGTTTTTTTCCAAAGTACCAAACCATCACATAAAAAGCCAGAACCTCGCCAAAAGACAAGTAACAAACGTAAAGATCTCTCTTGATACAACGTAAAAGGAAGGTTATTCATAAGTGTCGTAACGTAATTGGTGATGTGCATGACTCTTCCTTGCCTTCGCATAAATTCAAGACAAGGGACGGGAAAACGGAAGCATGTGAAAGCAAAAAGACCACACACACTCAAACCAACACCAAAGATAAAACAAGCACCAAAGTATTACTCACGGCTCTCTTTGAAAACAACGTGTGACCAGCCCTTCTCTGGTCGAGAACAATCAAGAAATCTCGTTTGTGTCTGTCTCTCTCTCGCTCCTCGACTCGTCCCCTGACACCTCTCCATCATCGTCCAATATGCTGCCACTCCCCTCACCCAGCTAACGCATTTCGTTTGCTCTGTCAGCGCCCCAAAAATGTCGGGTCGCCTTGACGGCCTGACAATCACCCACAAAAAAACCATCAAAGGCATGTCAACGGCAAAGGGAGGCTAGCAGAGGAAGGTCCTGCTCAAGCAAATGTCGAAGGTCCAAAGAGTGAATATAACTCGGCTTCCCCGCAGGTCAGACAAAGTCGCTCGGCTTTCACCGCCGCCTTCTGTCAGCCCTTCTTCAAAATGCTGTGGCTTGTTCCTGTCATTACAAGGGGTTTGCCCCTGATGATTTGTGCTGGCAATGCGAGTGTTGACTCGAAGCTGGATTTGTGTGTCCGAGCTCCGAGTGCTGGGCAATAGGAGTGTTGTTGATAGTTGATAGATGCCAAAAAAACATCGATCTGCTAACTTTCTCAAGAGGTGATGGCAGCAGCATCAGGAAGCTCTCCCATCTCAACACTCTCCACTGGGCTCATTGGTGTCCCTTTTGCCTCTGTCTCATACTCAGGGGCAACAGTGAACTCATGGGTTGACGAATTATACCACAGCCATCTAGGATTGGAGGTTGCGATCTTGTGTCCCAGCCACAGCACACGCTCCTTGCGCTCCTCGGCCATGGAAGCAACTTCAAAATACTTTTCGTCATCGTCGATCTTCTCGTTCGAGAAGCAATCACTGGGAGAAACTCTGTCCGCCCAAGCAAGGCCCCGCATGGCATAGTCCTCTGGCAAAGGTCTTCGAGACTCAGACCTGGGAAGAACGGTTTCCTCAATGCGACTATAGTTCTTGCAAGACCCAAGCAACGTATTCATCATCAACGCAGTCCGCTTCCAAGGAAATGAAGGTGCCACAAAATGAATGGCCTCGGGCAAGAACGTAAGGTGGTAAATGAAAACCAGAGACACATGAAGGAATGGAAGAATGTTAGGGTCGCCATCCCTGCGCGCGACGATATCGTAGGTTTGAGAAAAGAGCTTGAGCGCATTGGCCAAGTCTTCAGGGACAGGAGAACCAAGATCGCCGTCTGCCATCAACTGATCTTGGGCTTCTTCATCGGCACCACGGCTTTGCTTCAATGACTTCGAGATTGGGTTGGCTTCGTTTCCGTAGCCAATCACAGCGCAGCAATTGGAAATGCCCATGTGGTAGCCAGCCTCGAGCCACTTGCGGCTGGAGCGGGTGATTTGGCTGTCCAGAGACTGAAGAAAGTCATCCATGGTTGAATGCAGCTTCTCCATCTGCTTGCCGCTGAACATGATGGCATGGACCTTGACAAATGCGAACTCGGCAACCGAGAGCCTCGATTGCTGCTGATTGGGAGTCGGGGCCATGATTGGGTCGAACAGGGTCATGATACTCTCGCGAGCAGAGCCGAAGGGAATCGCGACACAAAGGGACTTGGTGTAGTAATAGAGCTGCTGAAGCGCATTGGGACGAGCAAGAATGGCCAAGTGGTGATACAGCCGCCCGGTGGTTGGAGCCTTGTCAGAAGCCTTGGAATACCAGTGACGACTCACGGCGGTCCAATTTTCCCGGTCCCGGATATCGTCATCCTCGATGGCCATCCTGTAACGCCCAAGGTCACCAAGGCATTCGATCCAGGTGTCCTCGAAAGCCGGAACAGTTTCGTAGAGAAGAGCCATCATTGAATATGCGAGGTAAATGAACATCAGCATGTGTTCAAGACTCGCTGGCAGCCGGTGTCTAAGCAGCTCGAGGAACGAATGAATACCATGCCGCCACATGCGTGCAGGCATGGCATACTTCGATGCCAATCTCCGCAAGGCAGGACTCGCAGAAGGGTGCTGAGAAGCGAGAAAAAAGTCGTGGTGTTCGTGAAGCAGGGTCCTGTGGAGAGCGATCAAGGCTTGCCATTGCTCGTTGTTGAGTTTGTTTGTTGGGTCATTTTGTGAGTTTTGGGCATTGTCAACCTCGATGCATTTGCTCTCCACCATCACCAGCCCGGCGTAGATTCCTTTCACCTCGGCTACCAGTTGGTCCTGGGAGATTGGCCTGGTTTCAGGTTGCTTGATCAGTTCCGTCGGGTCATTTTCCTCAACTTGAGTAGAGCTTCGTGATGTCGACGTGCGTGGTTGGCGATGTGGTGGCTTGGATGTTGGAGTAGATGAAACTCTTGAAGCAACATTGGATTTGTCGTAAGGACGTTGAGAGGCTGTGAGGTCGGCATCGGGCGTCCAAAGGGTGCCCTTGGCAGGAGGTCGTCGGTCAATTCGGTCGGGCTCTATCCGAGCCTTGGATTTCTTTGGGGGAGAAGGGCTGCGGGATCGGGATGGTTGGCTTTTTGAATCCGGAGTCGATCTCCTGCTGGGTCGGTCCGGTCCGGGAGCACCAGAGTCTGGATCTAACGGCCTCTGATTGGATGTATGTGTGGAGGATGGCACGGCCTTTGCATCTTTTGAACTGGGATCCAAGTTGCGTATGGCGGGTTTGCTCGCCTCTCTGGTATGTGTGAGTTGTGGGTGTTTGAAAAAAATAGAAAAGCAGCGAGGACTGCGAAGACACTTACCTCTCTATTGGGGGGGCTTCTTTCCACTTAGTGGATATCAGCTCCTTCTTTTCCTTGTCGGTGCTCTTTTCGTTCAGCGACCTGACGTGGACTGTTTCGTAGTGCTTTTCATACTGGTGTTTTTCGAATGTTTCATAGGCATATTGAGGATCCTCGCTGCAGTCGGGACAGTTGATTTTTTTGGCCGATGACCGCCGAAGGTGCTCATTCCATTTCTTGCTGAAGTCCATTATTAGATGTGTAATATTCTCTGACCGCGGTGGTGGTGCGACAGTGTGCTGGGAGCTGTTTGATGGTGAGGTTGAGATGGACCGAGCTGCTCAACGAGCATTCTATAGAGTGCGATGTGATTGGCCACTCGCCCGCTCGAACTGGGAGGGCTTGGCAATGAGGGGTTTTGCTCTGAATGGTGGGAGAAGGACCGAAAAAGCGGGGGTCCGAAGTTCTGTAAAGAACCAGCAAACGCAACCGGCGGGGAAAAGAGCAGCCGAGTTCAGTGCTTTCAAGATAGAAGAGGATCTTGTTGAAGCAGAAATGTTGTGTGGACCACCGTGAAGATGTATTCATATGAAAGTAAGAATGTAGGTCCACCCATAGACTCTAAATTTGGTTGGCCAGGCTGCCCGTCCGCGACCCAGCGAAATCTTAAAGCGGCAACAGCCCTTCTGTAAGGCGTCCAGTGGTTCGCAATTGGGCCGCCATCCAGCAGAGCCGCAATTCTTGACGCACCCCGCAGCTCCAACCTCTTTTTGCTCCTGCCTGGCAACACTACCATTCTTCTCACCGAAACCTTCGCTCAAGAGAGGTGCAGGCTTTGCACTTCATTGGCGTGATTGAGTGTCCTTGTCCCCAGGCAATCTGGGATTCATGTTCCCTAGGCTCTGGTCAGACATCACTCCCACGTCAACCGGTGTCTGCAATGAAAGAGATTATGGTTCCAAATAAGTTGTGACGGGGCTCTATCGGCTATTTCTGCCTCCCCAACTGGACCTCCTGTTATGCATGGCACGCACTGGCCAGACTCTCGTCCCATCCTTTACCTTTCTTTGACGACACAGTTATCCTGCCCGAAGTCACACTCCATAAAATGCAGCCAACTACTCGATACGACATATCTCAAAGAACATGAACGGAGTGATAGCACATTGGAAGGAACACGTCGGAATTGGCAGGCATACTTGGAACTGTTAAGGGCAGCGAGGGCTGACACAGACGGATGGAATTCCATTTTGCATTCCATAAACATTCTCTATTCCTTCCATTCTCTCCGTCTGTTTAGCTATTTCGTGTGTATGTTCACTCACAGCTCACAGCATTGGTGGCAACTTGAGAGACAACATTCCACCAAATGTGATTGGTTAGCCCTTGGAGGCATCCTGTTATAAGTGGCGTGTGGCCAATCATCTGTGGCGCCTTGATAACGACTGCAGCTGGAAAGTTCCAACCCGATATCTCTTTGAGTTCAAGATGGTCTCGAACCCGGCCTTTGCCCCTTGATTTCAGCTTCCTCGAGACTCTGCTATTGACCACAAAGACGCTAAATAGTCATCAGGCCATTTCTGCACGACCAACCTCCGAAGCATCAGCGTGCCATGAACCTTGGACTCGACCCTTGAGGCCTCAACTCGGTTGTGTCTGCTAGTCGAGATTTGGAGGATTATCGCCGAAGCCGTTGTGTTGGCGTTACGAAGGGGGCGAGTTGGGTTTTCGAGGCGCCTCTTTTGGGCGAGGATATCAGCGAATCGTGAGGGCAAGGTAGTCGCTCATTCGGCCCTTCAGTACAACGCTCGTATCGAACCGCTTCATCAGACCTCAAACCCTCCTTAGCGACTTTTCGTGGCGATTATTATGGGTCAACTTGCACGTCAACTTGTCGGGCACCTTGTCTAGGCAGCGGCCGCCTATCGTCACTATTTTGAAGGCTGTTGTGTGAGAGTTTGGGGACACGGCACACGAGAGGACGGTCACTCGTCCGGAGATAGTGAGGAAGGCAGCGAGGGCGAAATTAGAGCAGTAGCGGGGAGGAACAGGTCTCGCGCTACAGTTGGTTTACTGCATGATTTGGGTTAGTGAGTCATGGGATGTGTGGGGGATTGGTGGGATTGACCCAGCAGGAGATTGAGAAGCAGGGAGTGAAGCGAATCCCGTCACCAAGAGCCAGTGAGGATGTTTAGCTTGGTGTCAAGGTTCTGAACTGTGACACGTCGGTTCAAGTGGTCGGCGACATGTTGTGCCTATCAAAGGTGCAGTTTAGGGCCAATTTTGATGCCGCCTTCTCTTTTGACGGCACCGATATTGGGGAACATCTCGAAGGCCATTGTTGTGGTGGCTGGAATGACTTTCTGTGGCTACCTATGGATGGATGGGAAAGGGTCATGGCAAAATCCCCAGGACTGGCATCACGAGCAGTTGGCCAAGTGAGCATGTGTCTGCCGATGATGGCCAAGTAACAGATACAGGGCGTCATCATCTGTCCACTCTGTCACACCTTCAGAGTATTTGACAAATTTGCAGCGAGTTCAGCATAAGCAACATGTCTTCATTCACAAAATCTCCGCCATTTGATACCCACTGCGCAGCACTTGTCACCGCATTGACGAAAATTCTGATCGCGGTCAAGGTCACACCGGTAGCCATGTCAACAAACAGTTTGATGGCTCAACCGGGTCAGCAGTTACAGGGCGTGGCGAGGGCTTCCATCAGCAAAATCGAAAGCCAGCATACACAAACCATGGAGGATGCCCTGCTCGCGTCTGCAACACTCCTTGCTTGCCTTAGCTTGTTCAACCGCTATATCTCTGGCACCACCGGAAACTCAAATACCAGCACCATCAGCTTACGCCCCAATATCAGCCCTGTTTGCCCGCCAATTGCATTTTCCCGCCCTCTGCGTCTGCTTGAGTTCAGGCAATTCTGCAGTTGGTTCAGGTACTCCATCTGTGCCATATTACCGCACTCACAATCACCAACCGACCGAGTCCGGTACACCCAGCATACATGCAAGCTCCAGGTCGCGAGTTGATGGTGAAACACAACTCACCGACTTACGCCTCAACTGAGCCCGATGTTTCTAACTCTTCATTCCTCTAACCTTGCTGGAACTCAGAAGGTTTCGGTCAACACCAACCTCCCCTAGCTGCAGAGCAATTACCGGTTGTGTCCCTGCGGAGTAAGTTAACTCCGAGCCCTCACCTCACGTAGGATTAAACAGAGCCGTAAGCTTCTTCTCGGTGGGTGTCTAATCGGAACGCATCCTGTCCTCACCGCTCTTGCGCCGGTATGCTCTCCCGGCACGGTCCGAGATGCTAGTCATGAAGTCTGCGTCGTCGTTCCGATGAGAAGCCAGGGGTTCTCCACAGCACGCTGCCTTCCGGTCTCGCTCATTACGACGCCGTTATTGACAAGTTGAAGCTATCGACTGCAGGACAACTCATACTACTTCTTCCCTTGCATCAAAAGCGCAATTGAGGAGGTTTTTCAAGGTTGGAGGGTTGGATTGGGTTGACATGCATACTCATCTCTTCATTGGAACTCTAGAAGGAGAATTCACTCCGTTGTTCAGAACTACTCTCTTTCGTCTCTCATGTTGAAGACAACACAATACATCTTTCCATCATCAGGGTAGCTCCAGGTCGGCTTAATAGGCCTCATGCAGGTAGCCGTCAGCAGAGCATGGTTTCACCAACCTGTACTGTAAGGCTGGCCTCGGTGCCGATGTTACACCACCATGCCAACTGCCGGCGAGGCTGAGACATGGCTGCTTCCCATTGGGAAAAGAACCGACGTCATTTGATGTGAGGCTTCTGTGGCGTACTCTTAGTCTCTCATGAAAAGCCCTCTACTTGGACTGCCATCGCCATATCTATGCCTCATATGTTGTTTGCCCGGGTATGTACACGTACAAAACTCAAGAGACTTCAGAAAGCATCAAATCTATAGGCGCGGATGAAGATTCAATCTGGGTATGGGTGCCACGAAAACCCCAAGTTCTGCATGTATTGCGTGCATTTAGCCGACCACAAACTGGGAGAAAGGGCTTGCCCTTTTGGGTTTGGCTTTGCACGACGTAAATGAGGTGTTCTATAGCTGTTGGGAGGAGGATGTGTGACAAGGAGGGTGGTGACCGTTGCTTAGTTGCCTTGTCATTGACAACATACCTGAGATTACCTACTCCCTGGCATTGCTCAAGGTTGGGGGGGCAGTGCTCAAAGTATGAGAAACTTCGAGATGATTAGTGCTGGGGAAATTGCTTGAAGTGTTGTTGAACTAGCAATGTTGTTTGTGGGGGGCTAATGTGTCACCTTCTGGTTGGCAGTTGTCTGCAAAAGACCGAAAGTAGTATCAGCCTTGCAGAACCATAAAGCAACTACACCCAAAAATGACTTTTAATCTATACAGAAAAGATGATGGGCTGGCTTCACCAGTTTACTATGAATCTGGCTCCCAAGATACAAGAATCAGTTATTGACAGGCTGGGGGGAACAACTCAACGACACCACACTGAGAACAGTTCGTATTCGTTGTTCCAACTGCGTTCCATCCTCTATCACACTCAGCTCGTTTCCAATCTACGTTGGCACTGACAATGATCATCATGAGCATCACGAGCATCATCATCAGCCTAGTAGCCTTGCTCCTTATTAAGAACTGTAATCACTGGCTTCGAGAAGAATTCCGAAAGACGCATCTCAGTGCTCTTCTGACCTACTCTAGTAACTCACATTGTCCAGGAGCCTTACCATTTCATTGCTCTTCCATTCCTTTGGCCTTCGCTACGTGGTTGCAAGACATTTTTACCCCAACTCAACCAACTTGCTGGCACGTGAACGACTCCAAAATGCCTCGTTGTCATGTTGTCTCACCAGACATACGAACCAAATACTCCAACAGGCCCTCAGCCCGGTTCGGTCATCAAACTCCAATAGGTTACCAGATCCTCAAGCTCCATGATCTTCACGGCACACGTGGCAGCCCACTAGTAAAGCAAGGTCTGCTGTTAACCTTCCAACCCATCCCTAGTGGCTCCCTATGACTGTTGCCCTGAGAGGCAGAAGCACAAGTGCTGGAGAGAAATTGAGCAGACCAATTGGAAGCATTGTTAGCGAGCAAAGATCGATTGCATGGGTCACGACCTCACCTAAACAGTACCCTCGCAGACGGTGCAAGGTACGCTCCAGATTCAGAAGCTCTGTGAATATTACAGCTATCTGCCGTGTAACAAAGGGTCGTA